GGAAGAGCTATCAGTGCTTTGTTTAACACATCGGTATCTAGTTATTTGCTGTAAAAAAGTATTTTTATTAAAACTTTCTTTGAGAATTGGTCTACTATTTATTCGTTTACATCTTCCCTGGCCTTATAGTTGGCGCAAATACAACGCGCGGCGCCAGTTGGTACTTTCTGTTCGTATCAGATAATAGTTTGCTTAAAGCAAAAATTAAAAATCACCTGTTTTCATTGGGCTACAAACTTCAGTAGATACCTGAAGGTGCTAGCCTACCATGGACGAACCGTTTGCTCTTCCAGCCTACTACCGGTTAGCGAGATAAATCTAGGGAACAAGTGTAGCAGACTTTTCCTGAAAATGAAAGATGGTTTTGCCAGCCAGTGCGGTATCAACAAACAGATCAACGGAAGTCCGGTACGTCTATGACATCACGCTTGTGTAAAACGTATTCGCTATTATTTTTATATTAACCAAATCACATCCACCTTTGTTTGTGCATAGCGTTTGGGTAATCCTCACTAGCTATAATGAATAGCATTCAACAAGGGCCGGCGAAGGTGGAATCTTCATAAGGTAGAATCGACACATGATACAACTATTTACCCAAGCTATATAGCTTTAATTTAAGTTTTAATAAAGTTTTTTAAGCTTTAATAAGAAGTACTCTTGTCATTTTTCTGTCGAAAATGGCTGGACTGAAGGGCGCACGCATGCGTTTACTTGAATTTAATACTGTGCTCGATAAAGTCCACTGTGTTATACATTTTAAGCTAGGTTTTTTTTCTTTTATCTTCTCTTAGTTGAATAGCTCGGCTGAGAAAATAAAATGTATAGAAAAAAGGCTTATGTATCCTCTCAATGTACTCCTGAGACGCTGAACTAAAGGTGTATGTATATATAAACTCTTTGTGGTTTGTACTTTAATGTTAATGCTAAAGAAGAACCTAGAAATCTAATTGACCTTCATAACTTTAGGCAGTATTCGATAGAAAACATGTTACTCGACGTACTTATCGGTGATTTTCTCATATATAAGGACGTAATAAAAATGGCTTGCTTCACTTGAGGCTCAAGGCGTTTTTAGCTAATTGTTTGATGAACAACGGCAAACCGATAAGTGGGCTAGTTTAGCTAAAATCAGACAAGCTAGAAAATCTAAATGGATCTAAAACGCCATCTTTTCTGTGCAATTCCATTAGCCAAATTTGGGCCGTATAGGCAGATCGTGTAGTAGAAAGGACATTAGTAATATATTATACACTGACATTTTTTACTCGTGTAGCTCTGGAAGCATTCAAATATTCGGAACATTACGAACGATCACTTATCTTTCAGACACAGATGGGTAGACAGGCTAATAACTAGTTTCGAAAACTGTTATAAAAAAGAAAGTTGTGTTCTCCAATGATTAACTTCCTACGGCTCTTACTAGACCTTCTGTTTTTAGTTTTTAAATCCCCATTTTGCCGACGCCTGCAAGAAACTAGTGTCTAATACGCATATGTCATTTTAGAAACTTTACAGATATATCCTTGTGTAAGCCTAAACGGCAATTCCTTATGCTCAGTTTTGGTGCGGATTATACTATACCAGTTACCCCATTGACCGCCTCGATCTTTTTTATGAAATATTTATTATTGACGTTAAATAATTAGGATTTAATCCTAAGTTCTATCGTGCTTTTGCTGTACCAAAAATGTAGCCGCGTTTGATAACCAGAAATAGCCAATTCAGCATAGCGTTCCTGAAAGCGGAATTAGACTGTTACTTTTATAGGAACTACACATTACGCTACCTAAGTTAGCCTAGTAGACCTGTTATCGTTGCTATTGTTGCTTGTCTTACTGACAATGGGGTTTGTTTCTGATGTCGGCGAACTTAACGTCGGCTGAAAGCTGACCCTATTAACACGACGTATCTCTATTAGACATAGAGCAACGGCATGTTTACTCTAACAACCAATTAATAGGGAGGCAAGGCCAACCCTAATTTCCTTCCTCAGTGAAATGTCGACCCGGTAGTTCCGATCTTATTCAGGTCCCTTTTGAAGATTATAGGAAGCACCAAGCCACGGTATTTTCCGTATTCTTCTATTTACTTCAAAGCGTAAAACAATTCAAAGTAGTTAAGCCTTTCGCATGGGATCAAGTTAAGGTGAAATAGCCTAGATCTTTGCAGAAGTACTCTTGTCATTTTTTCCAATCTTCCGAAGCATACGACGTCAAAACCCTGCTGTTTTTAAACCAGATGACTTAAATATTCAGGGCGTTTGTGCGATACGAGATTTCTTGAGTTGAATAGACTCAGTAGATTAAAAGTTATTATCTTTGCAGTACGAGCTAAATGACTTTTTGGTTTAGGTAAATTCTATCTATTATTTTTAGTGGGATGAAAAGAATACAATTTAGTGTATTAACTAATGATATGCTGTTTTTAAGGATCTCTAGCGGCTCCCTGGCATCTACATATGTACATTTCAAGCAAGCAAAAGTGGTTCTTTTTTTGCCATCTAGAAATAACTCGGTAACAATTTTACCACCTACCGCTTTGACGCGGCATATTTATACGAGAGTGAAGTCAGACGACTTTCGAAGGGTGCTGGTCTGTATTTCAATGATTAAATTAGTTATTATTAAGACAGTGATTAAAAGGTATGTTTCACATTAAATTTGCGTTGCGTTTTATCAAAATGCATAGTTTGAAGGAGAAGGGGAGAGGAACAGGAACTTCGGTTTTGTGTCGACAATCGATTTTTTTGGCGCTCAACAGTTTACGTATAGAAAATGATCGCAATAGTAAGTATTGGCTTTCTAACATATAAATCGCCTACGGGTTAATCAGTCATAGAACATAAAAAGCTTGATATCACTTTGCAGGTCATCGTACCCTCGTATCGTCCAGCTCGCTGCCATATACGTGGGAATTATAGAGTTACCGCAACAGCGAAGCATTACAGTGTATCGTTATTTTCTGCAAATGACCTATTAGTAGTAACAATAAGAGTCACAAGTTTTTTCTGAGTATTGGTAGGCATAAACTTCAAAAAAAACAATTCTCTCTTGATGGATACCAGTGATTACTGACAAGAATAAAAAAAATCGGACCGCAGTTATTTTTACTCATGTCACGTTTAACATATGGGCCAGCGTAGTGAGCGTGCCACTGAAATAGCGATATGTTTATGACACTAGATGTTTTTACAATTATTATCATTTAGCTTAATTGCAAATTTTAATTTCCGAATTAAATCATCCAAGAAGAACTTGCTGCCATTCGGCCTTCTTGCCATTCATCTTTAGGTCTATCCACACATTTCGCTATGTAACTTCAACACTTACCGTTGAATGGCTTCGAGGTTATCTAGATTAGCACCAAATGGTGTATGGCATTCTTTTCCGCCTTTTATGCCCTCGGAATCACTCAATAGAGGTGAAAATATAGCTAATAGCGGTGCACGTTTCGCTGAAATCAGCGAAAATAGCAATAACATGAAATAACCGTGTCCGTTCTGCTTCTGCAGAGCGATGCCGCTTCATCAAATCATCAAGCAATGGTCTTTCGGCAAATTCTTCCGAATGGGCCCAATTTTCACTACTATCCTTGTATTATTAACTTCCAATACGTTGTAGCCAGTGCAGCAGACATGCTATATATCAAACGTAGTTTTTTAGCTTACACAGGTAAACTTTGTTAAGTATAATTTTATTAAGTTCTTTGGTCATGGAAAGCGAAAGTAAACATTGAAAATATATATTCAGTTCCGACACTCAATTGCTATCTCTCAATAGCAAAATTTAGTCGATACTAGCAAGCAAGCACATGGTATGTGAGTTTACTACTGGAAATTGTCGCTTTTGATATGTTGAAACACTCAATATGCCTTGTGAGACCGAATGGCTTGTTTATATCTAATGATAGCCGTGCAATTACGCATACCCAGTTTTCCTCCACATCTCAGTAATTCCAGGAAACTGAAAAGCCTATACTTCGATTGTGCTTTACATAGTCTGAGGTTATGGTTCCCTTGGCGTGAATTTTTGCGATAAACTAAACGGTGCTTAAAGTTACACTTGTCCCAGGTCAACCGTGTGTGCCACGAACCACGAACTGCGTACTGCGTCCGAATAACGAGACGCTAGGCCTCACAATTATATTACTATAACTGTTAGGCAGCAGTACGGGATTTCGAAACAACTCGTTATCTCGGTTCAAGTGAGATGCTACTTCCCCAGTCTCTCAACGATGAACGCTATTCGATAGGTGGTTGCTTATTAGAAGACCGAGTTACCTGCTGGACAAAAAAGGATTGGCGTAAAATGTTGCATTATTGTTGCAGATGCAGTATTTTTTGAGAAGACATTGTGAAAGCAAATAGGCGTTTTAGGAGTTCTTCATTAGGTGACATGCGTCGTTCGCCAATTACATGCGGCGCTCTAATTCTCGTCTATGCTGTATGCGAAGTGTTCTTGCCAATTGTCTAGAGCTGGCTATCGTGAATTCAATAGTTGCCCCGGCAGTAGTCTAGAAAGAGGTATACCAATGCCAGCATCGTATCACCGTGCTCATTAATCAGTTCTCACGAATGAGTACGACCTCTGCTTTGCTTGCCTTGGCGGTAACGAACTCTCGACTTTTAGTATTCAAGGTTTATTGTCTTGCATTACAAGTGTGTCTTACTTTATCACTTAGTCCCTCAGTTAAGGACTGGACCTATCTCTAGACTTCCGAAATATTTAATTTTTTTACTTTTAACATCTTAAAAACAAATTAAACAGATTGCTAGGCACAATATGTGACCATCGTGAGGACGTGAAATGTCAAATTTTTTTCTTAGGTAAATTCTAGACAGGACGATTATGATGTGCGCCATATATGTGAAAACGCTGCCCCAATATTAGACGGATATTATCATAGCTTGCGTGTTCACAGCAAGCATCGTACGGCTGAAGTCCATGCGAAATGCGAACGTTGAAGGCAACAGGTAGGAATCAAAACTCGATAAAGCATAACTCTTTCTGGTCTCTTTATTTGAATCTACAAAACGATCCTCTCGTTCTGCGTCCGTAATCTTTGCTCATTTTGTATAGCTCCATACGTTTGGGAGCTAGTATACGCTTGCTTTATAAACTGTACGCACTACGCTGTCCGGTGGCTTCACTTACGCTGGGTGGGGTTAGGCCCAAATGTTGCACTACCCGGGGGACCGATTCCTGAAAAGGGAGTTGACGGCGAGGCGGCCGGACTGCTGCTAAAAGCAATTCCGGATGAGACCGCTGGCATCGGAAGAATGTTCGCATTTATACTGGACGGACTTGCGTTCGCTGGAGGCTCAAAGAGCTGGTTTATAGGCCCAGAAGAAGCTGCCGACATCAGAGGATTTTGTTGCGCGCCAGAACCCCCCGGGCCTAATCCAAAGTGATATCCGGAAGCCGATTTAATACCCATGCAGGTGCTAAAAGGTGTCGGGAAATTGAGATTCGGAACAAACGGCTTAGAACTGGGAGCGCTCGTCGGTCTCGTTGCCGCGTTGAATCCCCCAAAGGGCGTATTTGGTGTCTGGGAGGGCCTGAAACCAGTTGGTGTTAATGTTCTTGCACAAATTGATGTTAAGGGGGATGCTGGTGGGCTTCCAGTTGTACTCGATTGGCCGAAATTTGCTAGAAGTGAATGATTCAACGAGGTAAAATTTGTCTGTGACTGACTTGTGGGTACATCAAAATTAATGTTAGAAGTCATTGAAAAGATTCCTCTGGCATTAAGTGGACCTTGTTTACGATTAGCGAGGTAGTCTTCCACCCGCAACTCTTCTAACGATTTATTTTCATATTCTTTCATGCACGTGACGCATTGATATAGAATTTGAGCAAGTTGGGTCACACCATTTTTAACCATAGTATCAGTCGACACGATGGGTCTAAAAGGCAAAGATGTACCAACAGGAATAAAGAAGGCTTCGTCGAGTCCTCTTTCTATACTAGTTCCATTCACTGTTGACGGGAGGCCACCAAATACGATAGAACCTGTGGACGCGTTAATCTGTCCGAAGCCACTTCCTGTTGACGGTGTCGCCCCGGTTTCGTAGCCACCGAAAACGGAATTTACTGCCGATTTTCCGACTGATCCAGCGTGCAGCGGATTGGGAGTTTGCTGGCCAAGTAAAAGAGACTGTGGCACCTGTTGGCTTTGTCCGCCCGGAGAAAATATGCCGCTTACCTGTTGGGGCTGCTGCTGTTGCACTTGGGCAAAATTGTAAGCACTGGTCTGATGCGCGACGCCTCCGAGAGTCTGGGTCGTAGGCATAGCACTAGGCGTTCCAAACCCTCTGAAGACAGCTGGCAATGCCTGTGCGCCGAGTAAGCTTCTTCCGAAGCCGTTAGCTATGGAGTCTTGCAAGTCTGTCAACTGCGAGCCAAGTTGTGGAGTTTGCTGTGGAGCCTGTTGGTGTCCGCTGCTGGGCGTAAAAACCGTATTCGACGATTGTGGCTGCACCTGGCCAAAGTTTGAAGGAAATCCCTGAAGATCTACAAAGGGTTGTGAGAGCGAATTCGTAGCGGGGGAGATTCCAAAGTCACCGGGGGCTGCTCTTATAGTCTGATTCTGTTCGGGTAGACTTCCAAGGGTGAAGGGTGCGGCATTTTGCGTTTGCTGCGACATTTGACTAAAGGAATTGGATGGAGCTCCTTGTTGAGCAAGTCCCCTGGGAACTTGAGCTACTCCGAAGCTGGTCCCTGGTTGAATCACTTTCGATCCGAACATAGCAGACTGTGCTGTTACTGATGTTTGTGCCTGTCCCAAAGCGCTTGCCTGGTTAACGTTAGCATCACAGAGAACGGAAGGCTTATTCGGTTGTTGCCCAAACATCTTGTTCCCATACACGGAGAATAATTGTTTGGCGATCTCTTACAACTAAAGAATATTATGGAATTGTCACACCAAAATACCTCATTCTCAAATCAGAGCCCAACGGTCACAGGGCTGCTATGTTCCGCAAAACTGTTTTATTCGTTTGTGTATCACAAAACATCGTTCTCGTCTGGTTTTGCATACATAGAGTTCAATTATATCTTAGCTATTTGCACAAATCTACCTAAAAAGTATTTTCCATATTTTACGTCCACTATTGCGACATCAGTCTTAACAGCTGGCGCCCACCACGAAACAAACGTGTCTACGTGTAGATTCGAACCTAAACCGCCACCATGTGCTCTACAATTTAGCAATGAAACACGTTACCCACTGCGCTACTACGGGAATTGATCATTATACCTAGTCGTACTATTATCAACATGGAGCCTTCGAACTAAAGAAAAGATTCACACAATGAATTAATGAAGGATAATGAATTAATGTCATTAATTCATTAATCATAATTGTAATGCGGCATAAAGAAATGCTAGAGTCACTATGATTAAAAGTAGAAACATCCAATATACTCGTCATTTTACGTGGTCGAATATACCAACGGCGTAGATGACGTAGAGCGATTGCGTGGCATGTAAATCACTTCTGCACATTACAGATCTGTAATGTTTCCTTTCGGAGTACCCCGGCTAAAGCATTTAGATTAGCAGTACTCAGTCATCTTTATGATGCCACGTTCAGAGGCGGAAAGGAAACACATTGTCTCTTTAAAGATTTCTAAGGCCACAAAATGTTTTAATGCAGTATGAAGTTTTATGCTGATAACTGATAAACGAGCTACACTTCGCCCTCTGCGCTGTACTCTGAAGCCTCTTCAGCGTTATCGTGTTTCTGATATCTGTCTCGCTTCATAGGTGCGAAACTCGAAATAGGCAAATACTCTTCGTTTTATGCGTGCAACCAGTCTTCTGAAGCATAACGACTATAATAAACGAAAAACTCGAAGCGTTTATTAATTTGCTTTATTAAACTAGATGAATACAGAATTTTGCTTGAAGCGAAATGCTCGTTTTCAGTGGATTATTGAACACCAAAAACAGAGTATTATACACGTACGGCACGTACTCGAGCCGTTCTAGCAAATATACAGAGCGATTCTCCAATTTCCAAGTGGATTTCAATTAGAGGATCATATGATGGTGAGCAGTATCTTGCGAGCAATACTTCTCTCCAAGTAAGCAGCTGTACGCCGACGCGGTAGGATCAAAGTTAACGATAATTTGGACCTTTTCGAAAACTGCTTCGGAGTTCTTCCGTTTTGAGATGGCGTCCTTCAGTCCGGGAGTCCTCAGACGGGTCAGCGAAACAGAGTTAACTTGAGAGAGAAGGTTGAAGAATATGACAAAAGTTGGAATGTTTGTTTCGGCTTTCCCTGTTAACAGTGACCCCCAAATCTCTAGTCCTTTGGCTTGCTTCTATAATTCTTACCTCGCCAACGGTGCGTACGTGAGAAGATTTTTTTATAAGGAAAGTGCCGTCTAATATCACCCGCCGCATGGATAGTATCTCCTTGGGGTTGACAAGGCATGTCGGCGTTTCTATCTAAGAAAGCGGCGACGGCAGACAATTAAACGAACTTCCTCCTTTACTCTGGGTGGGTGGATGGACAGTACAGGTAGGAACTTAAAGCGAAACCAGCGTATAATTGAGCTACTAAAATATAGAAGATATAGTTTTTAGTATGGATTCATTATAGGTTAGCTTTTGTTTTCGTTGGCAGACAAGGTCGGGAAGTTCTAATGCTGCACTATGTAAGCATGAAGCTAAACGCTTGATCTGACTTAACGTAAGCAGTGAGTACGCTAGGAGCTAACGTTAAGCTACTTCATATACATGAATTTAAGTACTTAGATTTTGATACACTGGTTGCTGTAAATACTACGTAACCCTTAATCGTCCACACGCATAGCGTCCCTCAGACCATCAACCAGTATCTTCATCTAACAATTTAATTAGCAAGAATCTATCGTGATCATCAAAGACGTAATGCAAATCTAATAGTTAACTAAGTGGAATACAAGGTTCCTCTTCCTGCTGCCGCTTCTTCTCGTTGATATTGAGCCACATTTTAACGTGAGAAGACTTGGCAGTGTTCCGAACACTCAGACGAAATTCCTGTTCTCCATTGGGTATTGTTTTGAGGCATTACCTGTTTTTCACGTTTTATTCTGACCTTCGACCCAGCGCGAAGGAAAAGAGAAAATAATCCGCACTTTTCATTTTCCTTCTTTATTTAGAGGCCCAACTTGGATGGTTCAGCGAGCCTTCTCTAATGTAAAGCTGATCTGATTCTGCCTCTTTTAGGACGATGCGGCAGTTATTGCGCCGGGAGCTATTTCTAAACGAAGTTTACAAATTCGATTGAGAGTTTAATTTGCTAAGTAAGGAACGAGCTGTTTTGGATGGCAAATGTGATGGATCAAACGGTTCGACTTCTACGGGTTAGAAGTGAGCTGCTTCGTGTCCGCTCTAACGTTCCGTTTCTTGTCCGTTTTTTTGGCAAGTCTCTCGTAATTAGCGTAAATAGCGACTAGAAACGTATTGATTTTGTTCCCATAGAGTTTGAAGCAATATATCTTTAACATCATAATCTTATAAGAAGCAACATTTTCACTTTAGCCAATTTCGATTCAATATATGATACGATATCATACTGTATGTTGCATTTACAGTTTGAACAGAATCAAAATGGATGATTGTTATTTTACTGGGGTACATACCTTATGGATGCAATTAACTGTGTATCCGTGATTGATTGCAAAGAAATGTATGGCTTTATCCAAAATCAAATTAACATGTGACCTCTGAATAGTTCAAAGACGTTGCAAATTAACCTAGAGCAGGCTCCGGTTGAAATGAATGCTGGCCTAAATAAAAATGTACCCAATGGTCTACACACTGTGCTAATCGTTTCAAGAGTGACTTAAGTTCATTAGCCATTAATTAACGTAGAACGGGGCGTTGTTTTTGCTTGTAGCAACAGCTGCAGCAGCCTAATTTTCTTTATGTTTTATATTTTAACAATTATGGAACAAGATCAATGTCATTATCATCTGTGAGTAGGCACCGTCGCTTCACACGTGGAACGTTCTACCCGAGTACTTGATAGACGTTTGATGTTTCTTGGTAGCCGACAGTTAACTGAAATTTGGATGAACAGAGTGGCAGTTTAGCTCGCAGCGTCACGAAAGCCACCAAAGTATCTTAGATTGATTCTACCAAAGTAGAGGTTTGCCTCCATTTCACTCTTAACTGTGTCAGAATGAAAATCGTATAAAATATACAAACGAGCATGTACATAGCCTCTATAATTTTCCAACGACTTCTGTGAAATTGTCTTTCGAATGTGTTTATTGAGCCTTTTGCAGAGCCTTGCCTTTCTATCGCTCCTAGCTAAATGATACTGACTTTAAAATGACTAAAAATAAGACTACTTTCGCCTAAAAAAGCGCGCCTTCTAGATGATTTTAAAATTTGTACCTGCAAAAATCATTCCCACTAGTAAGTCTAGAACTTAGTCATCACGTTTTTCTAAGTGGGCCTGGCACAATCAATTTAAAAAAAAACAACGTTGAAACACGAAAGTGAAATAACGCAGCAATGAGAAACATTATATGTATAAGGCAGGTATAGTTGGCAACTAGAGCTAACCGTTGCCTCTTTCAAGTGTTCTGGACACAGAAACAGTAAAAAATTTCAACTAGCATCTAGCATGTTGGCAGATGATTTCTATCTGCCGCCTTCTTCAGGCTCATTGCAGAAAAGTCAAAACCATTCCCACGCCCCTCTTCTAAACAGCACCTGGTCGTTTTCTTCATGGTCCTACTAGGCCCTCGACGACAAGGACCACCATCACAGTTTGCCTTCGCTTCTTTCCCTCCGTCTTCACCTAACTCTAATAGCAAATGCCTTGAACGCTTCCTTTGCATCTGATTCCCTTCCATGCTCAAATGCAACGCTGGTTTTCGCCTAGTCTACTTTACAGCTTTATCGAGCTGTTTCTGGACCATTGATGACCGGGCCAATCAAATGCTGTTTCTCGATTGCTTTCTAGCGTTGGAAATGAAGGCTGTCGTTTTGGAAAGGACATTGCCCTAGCAGGCTGACTGCACGATGAGGACGGAACTGCCGAAATGCGGGTACATCGACTTATTTCGCAGTTCGCTCTCACTCAGGGGCCCATAGTTTGTCCTAGAGTTCTTCTAAGGCTATTTGGACTACCAACTTCGAATAGATATTGAACCGCCCTTCATAAGTCAAATCGAACATGGAAAGAACGCGAAATATGAAAAAATATCACTTGCCAAATATGAGAATATACCCTTAAGGGACGGCTACTCTGATTCACCGGTATTGAGTGATATAGCTTTTACTAGTTAATCGACTCAAACGAGGAGTTAGATTAGATTAAAAACAAGGTGATTTTCATTTCTCTTTTTCTCAAACAACCGTAATGTCCGTAACGTAAGATTTAGGAATCGAATTTTGTTGGAGTTAACGGAGGTAGGGAATTATAATCTCCAATCTTATCAAGTTATTAAAAATGATGCGGCGACGGTGTGGCCGCAAACCGCTTCGAACACCGCTAAATATAGGTTGACAAATGAATAAAAATTTGCAGGGCACACGCTCTCTCTGTACTATTATACAACTGAGTCTTGTAAATTTTGGGATAGCTCAGTGGGTAATATATTTGCGTGCTAATCTTAAGGACACTAGATACAGGTTCGAACCCAGGCACAGACACACGATTCGTCGCTTGCTGGGAACCAGCCATCTTATGGAATGCCGAACGGAAGCTCAGAGAGACTTTAAACTTTTAAAAAGTTGATTATACAAGAAAACTATTCATATTTCCAGAACCGATTTCAGATAACCAACGATGAAACCTAAAAATTATTTACTAGAAGCTTTTAACAAATTCGTATGGCACACACATCTTGAATATTATTATTTCATTGAGATCGGGTATTTTTAGTACTAAAATAATGTTGTAAAAACATGTTCAACCAACGTATGTTTTTAGGTTTGCATATATATATATATATCTACTTTAACGGCACAATAATAGGTGAACGATAGTGACGAATTGATT